GCATTAGCATATCTCATTTCCATGGAGATTATTTGGCTCAGCCCCCTTAGTCATGGTCTATTGACTTTGAAAATTTTGCTTAGTTAACATGTATTAGTTTGCGATTAGGTCAGTTCAAGGGGAACCATTAGTGGTAGGCCAATTTTAATTGGTATTCAGTTGTATAAGCATAAGCACATCTCATTTCAATGGAGAATATTTGGCCCCATCCCCTCAGTCATGGCCTATTGACTTTGAAACTTTTGCTTAGTTTACATTTATTAGTTTGTGATAAGATCAGTTTAAGATGAACTGCTAATGTTAAGTCAATGATATTTGGTATGCAAATTTATTGGCATTTGTAATTATCGTTTCCATGGAGATTATATAGCTCCACCCCCTCTTCATGGTTCATTGACTTTGAAACTTTTACATAGTTTACAAATTATGTTTGTGTTTAGGTTTCTTTAAAGGGAACAACTTATAATAAGTCAATGATATTTGGTATGCAGTTGTATTAGCATTGGCGCATCTCATTTACATGGGGATGGTTTAGCCTTGTACCTCAGTCATGGTTCATTGACATTGAATATTAGCCTAACTTGTTAAGTATTGCCATTTTAATTTCAACATTTGCATAATCAAAATTACAAAAAAGCGAGACATATCTCTGTGATAACAGTTTATTGTTGTTCTCTCCAGGTTAATATTAGATATCCTAATGTTATCTTATGATAAACTAAAGATTCACCTTTTTATGGATGAATGGAGTACATTAACAACGAGAATGAGTCTTCACTTCTATTACTTGGATCACAAGGACATTAACATACAAAAAATGACACAGTTCAAAGCAGACATTTTTAAACAACAAAGAACTGAGTTACAAATTAAATTATTATAAGTTTAAATTTATACAGACTAGATTAGGCCGATAGTTTTCTTAATTGAATTGTTTCATATTTTTCATGTCGGGGCCTTTTATAGCCGTCTATACAGTATGGGTTTTTCTTATTGTTGAAGGCCGTACGGTTGCCTATAATTGCTTACATCCACTTCATTTGAACTTTGGTGGATAGTTTTCTCGTTGGCAATCGATCATGCCACATAGATCTCCTTACTTTTTTAAGTAAATAGTGTTATTTTGCAGTCAGGGGTCAAAAGTTATTCACAGCATGATAACTCTTTTTAATTGTCAAAAACTTGTTTCAGGTCAGATTGAAATAACCTTTTTTCTGTTTTACTACGAGCAGATTTTGGTCTACCTGCGACGAAAGTCACAGAATACAAGACCGAGATTACAACCCAGCGGCGGATACTAATTGTATTTATTTTTGAGAGAGTAGAAGACCTGGATACTTCATACCTTGTATACAGGGGCCTCATATTATGGAGTTTCTGTCCATCAATTGTTCATTGTCTTCTACCTCATTTTCATGGTTCAGCGACTGCTTAAAAAACTGTATAGTTTTTGGTCACATGAATTTCTTATGTGTAATTAGTAAAGAGTAACTATATTTGGTATATGGATTCCTTGCAAGGTCTACATGTCTGTCAGACAGGGTTTACCTGAAATCAAACTCATTTCATTGATCAGCAGTCTAGATTAAGTTTTCATGGTCATTCTGTATCTCAGATACTTTTAGTAGATGGTCAACCATATTTGGTGTACAGAATAGTTTTAAGGTGAACATGTCAGTCTGGAAGGTTTCATCTGATCTTGGCCTCATTTCATTGATCAGTGATCAAGGTTAAGCTTTTGTTGTCAAATCTGTATCTCAGATACTTTAAGCAATTATTAAGGTCAACTATATTTGGTGTATGGAATTATTGTAAGGTGTACAAGTCAGAGTGGCAGGTTTCCTCCGACCTTATCCTCGTTTTCATGGTTCATTAATGTTGTTAATCTTTTTTTAGTTTGGTCCGTTTTCTCAGAAATTATAAGCAATAGATCAGCTGTATTTGGTTTATGGAATGATTGTAAGGTGTATATGTCTGTATGGAAGGTTTCGTCTGACTATGAATAAAAAAAGGCAACAGTAGTATACCGTTGTTCAATAGTCATAAATCGATTAAGCGAAAACAAATCCGGGTCACAAACCAAAACTGAGGGAAACACATCAACTTTAAGAGGAAAACAACGGAACAACAGAAACACTGAACTACAACAAAAACAAACGCCAACATACATAGAAACGGAATTTTTGATAACAACTGCCATATTCCTGACTTGGTACAGGACATTTTAAGAAAAAATGGTGGGTTGAACCTGGTTTTATGGCTAGCCAAACCTCCTGCTTATATGGCAATGTTAAAAATACAGCTAAAATGACAACATTACGTGACAGGAATACAGTACAAATAAACGCAAGAACACTCAGGACAGAGAAACACATAAATAAATAATATAATAGTACATTACAACATGTAAACCACAGAATAACAACGGACACCTCCCATGAATCCACAACAGCACACCAAGACACCACAAACGAATTTATAATAAACTGTGCATCACATGAATGTATCAACGCCACAAAAAGTGACGTATTTTTTGTGAAGTTAATATTATCAAGGTAAATTTCTAAAATAGAATAGATTTGTTTTATTGTAGACACGTACAAGAATATAAGATTGAGTTTGTAATGGTGTTATTTTATGTATTTTCTAACCATGACAAGAATATTAAAATGGAATTGTATTTGTAATGGTGTTATTATTTGTATTTTCTGACCATGTCGGTTTTTCTTCTAAGTCAAAACTGTGTATAAACAAAAAAATCCTGTGCATATAGTTGCTTTAAACTAAAATTCATATAAATGAAATAGCTGATTAATTATCTTAACCTTTACATAAATATAGAAAATAAAAATAAAATTAAAAACCAATTGTTCAGAGAACAATTGAAGGTCTTTCCACCCATAAAGATCAATTTTGATATAGAACTATGAAAATTCAGTTTGAAATATCATATCCAGCGTCAAATGATAGCTTATTGTACACTGATTCCAAAAATGTATGGTTTCTATACATTTTTTCTAAATAAGGGAGATAAATTGTAACTTCCGGTTTGAAAAATGTCACTTCCGGTTTTAATTGATAGTTTACTTGATACTGATTCCAAAAATATATGGTTCAATATACTTTTACATTAAATAAGTACAAAAAATAGCTACTTCCGGTTTACACCAGGTCACTTCCGGTTGACTTTTCCATAGTCAAGTGGCTTGCCACGTAATTCAAAAAGTCCCATGGCTTTATCATGTATACATATGAGGTAAAAGCAAAGGTCAAAATCTAGAACGTCAATTTTACCAATGACCTTCAGCTCAGTTTCAAGGTCATAAACCAAGGGCTTCAAATCAAAAGGCTATAGGTCTCAATTATATATGGTTAATGAGTTATATCACTATATGCTTAACTTTTAATAAACGAGGGGAGAAAACTCCAATTTAATGATAGCGTACCCTTTTAACCAAAATTTATGTGTTACGACATGTCGCAACTTACAATTTAGTAAAAATATGTTGTCGATATCTTGTAAGGTTTTTGAAAAGAATTGAAAATAAGCCAAAATCAAAATTTAAAATATGACCTTGACCTCTGACCTTGACCTAATTTTCTTATTTTTGGATCAAGAACCTCAAATCAAAAGATCCTAGGTCTCTATCACTAATGGTTTACAAGATAGAAATGCATATCACTTATATCAAATGCATAAGGGGAAATAACTCTCATATGGAATATTCATATTGCTTCGGTCAAAATAGGACAAATCATGCAAAGGATATAACGAGCAATTTTATAAAATAAATTTGTTGCTTTCTTTTACGGTTACGGAGGAGATGCAGTCACAAGGAAAACAGTGTTCGGGGAGATAACTCCTACAAAGAAAATTGTTCGGCTAAGAATGGGTGAAAATAAAAAGCGCATAAACTGTATGATACTATATAAGAAATATCTAAGCGACATCTTGCGAAACAAAAATTTTACGCGAGAACAAAATTTGGCGGAAGAAAATAATAATAATCAGAACAAATACAATAGGTCTTTCCACAGAAAAGTGGAAAGACCTAATAACTGTAATATAAGGCAAGATCATGTAAAAACAAACAGTAAACACACTTGAAAACAAACAACATAAAACAAAAACACTGTAGACGAACCATAAGTAACTCACCTATACTGACAAATTAGACATATGTGAAATGTACTGAAAATACAGAATTCAAACCACAAACAATAAGACATAACACAATATCCAACAAGACTTACAAAAGAAACATCAAATCTAAATACATGAATGTTGGATGTATAAATACTGAGACACGTCTTTTAGCAATGCGAATTCACACTCGGCAAAACAGTCGTATATGAACTTTTTATTCATGGTTAGTTGGACAATGTAAAGCTTTTTGGGTTTGGTCTATTTTTAGATACTCTAAGCAATGGGGCCACTATGGTTGTTGTACGAAATGATTGTAAGGTGTACATGTTTGTCTGGTAGGTTGACCTTGAACTCATTTTCATGGTTCGTTGGTCAATGTTGAGTTTTCATGATTTTGTCTGTTGATTGGATACTATAATCAATAGCTGAACTATATTTGGTGTATGGAATGAATGTAAGGTGTACATGTCAGCTGCCTGGCAGAGTTCATCTGGCCTTCACCTTATTTACTTGGATCATTGATAATGTAAGTTTCTGTGATACTTGTATTAAAACTTTCATCTTACAGACTTGCACTCTTGTGTAATTTATATAAGACTAAAATATTTTAGATATGGATTGTGCAATATAGGCTTCTTAGAACTTATATCTAGTTTATAACCCTCAATCAAGGCAAATATGTTGAAAGTTCCATTGGACTTTCAAATTAAGAATGATCCACAAGCAACATTGAAAGTTCTGTCAGGTCTGCACATATTTGTAAAACTTTAAAGATATAAGTATCATATACATTGTGTATATATTGTATGAAAAAACTATATATATGAATAATTGGAGGTTACTTTTTTAACAGACAGGGATGTATTTGTTATACACAGTGTCATCATCTGCTGCAGAACAACTAAAGCCTCATCTTGTGTCTCTTCTGCAGTTACTGTCAGAAGTTATATCTGATAATGAAAACCAGTTTGTACCATATTATGTGGTCAGGTAAGTTAGATTTTGAACCATGCTAATCTGCCTCAATGACAATTTAATTACAGTACATTAAGAATCTATATTTTTAGGCAGTTAAGCTGCCTTATGCGAGCACCCTAGATTTGTGTTCTACCCAATAAATGCTGAAATACGTGCCATTGTTATTATCTAGCTGGCTATTATGTTATTTATAACTAATTGGACATTTTTTAAATACTTCTATTTCTGGAATACAAAAAATATGACCAGAAAAACCTTAAATGATCGTCGAACTACCCAAAACTTTTGAAGTTGCACATAGGAAGTAGTGCTCAATAGAAATCCGTACGTAGTTTATTATCCCCTGTGCTTTTGGCTACGATGTCAAAGAACAATTGTATGAAATATTTCATCGCCGAAAATCGGTAATTACAAGTCGTTTATATTTCCCAAATGGCAATATGCGCAGGAATATTGTTCATGTACAACAAATCTCTATGATAGAGGAAATAAAGTTATATAATTGGGCGGTCATTTTTATACGACCGCAAAAAAATTTTTGTGGTCGTATATTGGTATGACGTTGGCGTCGTCGTCGTCGTCGTCGTCGTCGTCGTCCGGCGTCGTCGTCGTCGTCCGGCGTCGTCTGGCGTCGTCCGAAGACACATTGGTTTTCGCACTCTAACTTTAGTTTAAGTGAATGGATCTCTATGAAATTTTACCATAAGGTTCAATACCACAAAAGGAAGGTTGGGATTGATTTTGGGGGTTATGGTACCAACAGTAAAGGAATTAGGGGCCAAAAGGGGCCAAAAATAAGCATTTTTGTAACTTCCAGACATAACTTGTGTGTTAGTGTATGGATCTCTCTGACATTGTACCACAAGGTTCCATATCACAAAAGGAATGCTGGGATTGATTTTGGGGGTAATTGCCTCAAAATTTTAGGAATTAGGGGCCAAAAAAGGGGCAAAAAACAAGCATTTTTCTAGTTTCATGATAATAACTTGTGTGTAAGTGTATGGATCTTTCTGAAATTGTACTACAAGGTTCCATATCACAAAGGGAAAGCTGGAATTGAGTATGGGGGTAATTGCCCAAAACGTTTAGGAATAAGGGGCCAAAAAGGGGCCAAAAATAAGCATTTTTCTAGTTTCCAGACAATAACTTGTGTTAAAGTGTATGGATCTCTCTGAAATTGTACCACAAGGTTCCATATCACACAGGGAATGCTGGGATTGATTTTGGGGGTAATTGCCTCAAAATATTAGGAATTAGGGGCCAAAAAAGGGGCAAAAACAAGCATTTTTCTAGTTTCATGATAATAACTTGTGTGTAAGTGTATGGATCTTTCTGAAATTGTACTACAAGGTTCCATATCACAAAGGGAAAGCTGGAATTGAGTTTTGGGGTAATTGCATTAAACGTTTAGGAATTTGGGGCCAAAAAGGGGCCAAAAAACACATTTTTTTTAGTTTCCAGACAATAACTTGTGTTCAAGTGTATGGATCTCTATGAAATTGTACTGCAAGGTACCGTACCACAAAGGGAAGGCTGGGATTGAGTTTGGGGTGATGAATCATAAGGGGGTTCAAAAAATTTGGGGGGGGGATTTTTTTTTTTTCCTTTTTTTTCTTTTTTCCTTTTTTTTTCTTTTAAAATTTTCCATTTTAAGTTGGTTATTTCTGATTTATATTTAAAAGCAAATAATAATGATATGGTAGGAGATACACACCAAACAGGATGTGTAAATTTTTATATAATAAGTATTGTGCAATAGCAAGAAATTTTCAATTGCACAGTATTGCACAATAGCAAGAAATCTTCAATTGCACAGTATTGCGCAATAGCAAGAAATCTTCAATTGCACAGTATTGCGCAATAGCAAGAAATATCCAATAGCACAATATTGCGCAATAGCAAGAAATTGTCAATTGTACAGTATTGCGCAATAGCAGGAAATATTCAATTGCACAGTATTGTGCAAAAGAAGATACTTCGTATAAATTGCTTATTTCTTGACCAATTTCAATGGGGTTTTATTCTTGAATTCTTGGGGTTCTTTAATATGCTGAATCTAACCGTGTATTAAGTTTTTGGATTTTGGGCGCCGTTTTTAAATTGGTCCACATTGAGGTCCAAAGGGTCCAAAATTAAACTTTGTTTGATTTCATCAAAAATTAAATTATTGGGGTTCTTTGATATGCCGAATCTAACCGTGTATTTAGATTCTTAATTTTTGGTTCCGTTTTCAAATTGGTCTACATTAAGGTCCAAAGGGTCCAAAATTGAACTTAGTTTGATTTTAACAAAAATTGAATTCTTGGGGTTCTTTGATATGCTGAATCTAAACATGTATTTAGATTTTTGATAATGGGCCCAGTTTTCAAGTTGGTCCAAATCGGGGTCCAAAATTAAACTTTGTTTGATTTCAACAAAAATTGAATATATGGGGTTCTTTGATATGCTGAATCTAACCATGTATTTAGATTTTTGATTTTTGGGCCCAGTTATCAACTTTGTCCACATTGAGGTCAAAAGGGTCCAATATTAAACTTTGTTTGATTTCATCAAAAATTGAATTCTTGGGGTTCTTTGATATGCTGAATCTAACCATGTATTTAGATTTTGGATATTGGACCATAATAGGGGAATGTCCAATTTAAAATTTTTAAGTTCTTAGACCACATTCATTCTGTGTCAGAAACCTATGCTGTGTCAAATATTTAATCACAATCCAAATGCAAAGCTGTATCAAGCTTGAATGTTGTGTCCATACTTGCCCCAACTGTTCAGGGTTCGACCTCTGTGGTCGTATCAAGCTGCGCCCTGCGGAGCATTTTATTAACTTATCTTGCCAAATAAGGTTGTTGATATTTTATGAATGAAATGAAACGATGCCATGAAACAGATGCGGAAATCAACATTGATGGGATGTTTTAAGTAATATGGACAACTCGTCCCCTAGACAAGTTGGACCGAATCCACTCAAACCGTCTAAGAAGACAACTTTGACCGTTTGTCAGATTTACTTAGGGTTTCATAAAATACTAGACTAACATGTCTAGCGGAGCCATTAATCTTTTGTTTGTGCATTTGGGGTCTATTTAGGGGTTATTTGGAGGGGCCTGAAGAAGGGAGGGGTTAACATGTACTATAAAACCCTATGGATTTTATTTTTTTAAATTTTCAAATGACTATATCTGGAAACAGTAAGTGATAGACACATGCAGTCTTCAGTAATGAGAACAGGACAATAAAAAAAAAATCAACCTAAATATATTGTGAGTCCCTGGGGGTCATCCCAACCACCTTCAATTTGAAAATGTACTTTTATCTTGTACACCGTCGCGATCCCCACCCTAAACAAATATATATACTTGTATGGGACAATAAAAGAAATCAATGAAAATAATTTGGGGGAGTCCCAGGTGTCGTCCCACCCCCTCCTGTTTGAGAACTTGGAAATGGTCGAGATCCCCACCCCTAAACCATATATATTCATGTATGGGACAATAAAACAAATCAATTGAAATATAGGGGGAGTCCCTGGGGGTCACCACCCCCTCCTGTTTGGGAACTTGTAAACGTTGAGATCCCCACCCCTAAACCATATAAATTCATGTATGGGACAATATAACAAATCAAATGAAATATATGGGGAGTCCCTGGGGTCACCCCAACCCCTCCTGTTTGAGAACTTGGAAATGGTTGAGATCCCAACCCCTAAACCATATACCTTCATGTATATGACTTTAACTTGAAAATTGTAAGTGATAGACACACGCAGTCTTAAGAAATGATCACAGAACAATAAAACAAATCAGATGAATATAGGGTGAGTGCCTGAGGTCGCCCCCACCCCCTCTAATTTGAGAATGTGCTATTATCTTGTAAACGGTCGAGATCCCCACCCCTAAATCATATATATTCTTGTATGGGACAATAAAACAAATCAAATGAAATATAGGGGAAGTCCATGGGGGTAACCCCACCACCTTCTTTTTGAAAACTTGTAAACGTCGAGATCCCCACCCCCTAAATCATATATATTCTTGTATGGGACAATAAATCAAATCAAATAAAATAAAAGGCGAGCCCCCTGGGGTCACCCCCACCCCTCATGCTTGAGAACTTGTAAACGGTTGAGATCCCCACCCCTAAACCATATATATTCTTGTATGGGACAATAAAACAAATCAAATGAAATATAGGGGAAGTCCAGGGGGGTCACCCCCACCCCCCTCTTTTTGAGAACTTGTAAACAGTCTAGATCCCCACCCCGAAACCATATATATTCTTGTATGGGACAATAAAACAAATCAAATCAAATAAAAGGCGAGCCCCCTGGGGTCACCCACACCCCCTCCTGTTTGAGAACTTGTAAACGGTTGAGATCCCCACCCCCTAAACCATATATATTCTTGTATAGGACAATAAAACAAATCAAATGAAATTTAGGGAAACCCCAGGGGTAATCCCCAACCCCTTCTTTTTGAAAACTTGTAAACGGTCAAGATCCCCACCCCTAAACCATATATATTCTTGTATGGGACAATAAAACAAATCAAATGAAATAAAGGCGAGTCCCATTGGGTCACCCCCACCCCCCTCCTGTGTAAGAACTTGTAAACGGTCGAGATCCCCGTCAATAAACCATATATATTCTTGTATGGACAAAAAAACAAATCATATGAAATAAAAGGGCGAGTCCCCTGGTGATTACCCCCCCCCCCCCCCCCCCCCCCCCCCCCTTTCAATTTGAGAATGTGCTTTTATCTTGTAAGCGGTCGAGATCACCACCCCTAAACCATATATATTCCTGTTCGTCATTTCAAGAAGATTTGAAAGACATACAGGGTTAATCCATAGGCGTCACTTATGCATATCACAAACCAATTTGGACGAATTATTGGAGCTTTGTTTGGGAGACTTCGTAACAGCATCCTGTTACAATTATTTCTTGTAATGTATGAGACAATAAAACAAATCAAATGAAATATAGGGGGAGTCCATAGGGACACCCGAACCCC